AAAAAAAAAAAAAAACTTGGGGAAACTATAGGGAAGTCCCCAGGAGCACTTAAGAGAATCTTTTGCCTCTGTCTGGAAAACTTTATGCAGCTCTGCTTCTGTTTCTTATTAGCCGAAAAGGGTTGGGTCTAATGAGAAGTCCTAGACATCTGATCCTTTTTTCAAAAATAGAGAGCATGATTCTGACATTTTGAGAGAATCAGCCTATTTGGAAGCATCTCATTTATCAATCATTTTAGGCGGAGGGGATGAGAGTTTCTCTAGCAGAAGGCGAAGGGCTGGAAATTGTAGTTCACTTCTCCTGGAAGAGATGTGGGGGGGGGCAGACTTAGATATACACATGTTGGTTGGATGGTTGGTTGGTTGGTTGGGTGGGTGGCAGTGGTGGAATCTGGATCCTGTTGCAACCGGTAGAGTGCAACGGGGCCCAGCATCCACCACATGAACACGGGTAGTGCGTGCATGAGTCCTTACCTCCTGCCACACTCCTCAATATCTCCGTGGAGCTCCAGCTGCTCGGTGGAGCATTGCACAGGTGCTGTATGCTCCATGCGCATCAGTGGTGGGATTCAGCCAGTTCGTACCTATCCGGGAGAACCAGTTGGTAACTTTCTAAGCAGTTCGGAGAACCGGTTGTTGGAAGAAATCTCATTTTGTTTCTTTCCACCTTACAGGGCTAATCCTATAAGGAAGGCAGGAAGGAAACATTCTGGTGTTGTTTCTAGCCTAATCTTTATTGCCCTGCTTACAGAAATTGCTTCTTGGTTAACCTTTATTACATTGTGACAGCTAAGGCGGTGCCCATCAATGTGAGTGACATTGAGTTGCCATACCCACCCAGTCACATGACTATTGAGTTCCGCCTATCCAGCTGGTCATTAGGGCAGAGAACCAGTTGTTAAATTATTTGAATCCCACCACTGATGCTCATGTGCAGAAGCGCCAAAGAGCTCAAATACAGGTAAGGATGGTGGGCGGGCAGGCGGGCCCTCCGGAGCACCATACTCGAATGGTATCTGGTGCTCCCGGGAGGCACCGGTATGCCTGTACCGGGGCGTACCTCCTGCAACCCACCGCTGGTGGGCGGGTGGATGAGTGGATGGATGGGTGTGTGAGTGGATGGATACCATAAATAGGGGGCCCACCCAAGGCCTGGGGGAAAGTATATTAAAAAGATTTAAGTAAGTTAGGGGTTGTAAAAGTCACAAGGGAAGGGGGCTGCTGTTCCAAAGAGTAGGATCACCTCCTGGGTCCTGCTAGTAGTACTGTTTAATCAGAATTCATGGGATATACTGGTACTAAAGGATATGCTGGTACTTCCTCCAAAAGCAAATCCCAATGTTAATATAAGTCTTTATAAATAATAACTAGTGCATTGAATTGCATCCAGAAGTTGACTGGTAATCAATGAAGGTCATACATGATATTATTTAGGCTTAGGGACACTTCTCCATTACTGCTCACATTGTCCCATTCTGGACTAGAGGTAGTTTCTGAATGGTTTTCAAGGCCAGATTTTTCCCCTTTGTTGTTGACATTGTTGGCTGGCTCTCTCTCTCTCCAGGGCAGTTCTACTAAGACATCAGCTGCTGTCTCTACAGCCACCACTGATTCTAGTGTTACAGGTAGGTAAGAGCTGATAACATTTCCCTCCTCCTCTCCGTTCCAGCCCCAATCCACATTCAGGCTCATCCTTTGAATGTTTTGAGGGCAACCCTGTTGTCTGAAGGGAAACTTGTGCTTTCTTTGCAGATCCCAACATCTCACTTCCTTGGATGGGCCCTCAAGAGCATCATGAATACGAGGAAGTAGGAGGTCCTAGGAGATTGGAGGACATGGGACCCCTGTATGATGAATGGAACCCCAACGATGAACCATGGATTAATGAATATTCAGTGAGTACCTTGAGAGGAAGGGGAATTCTGAGATAGTCCTGTTGTGTTGCACTCTGTGGTCCCTGATCAAGGGTATGGTAGGTTGCCTTATCAATGGAGTTTTGTGGATGGATACTTCAGCGGAAGTATTTAATCACTGGAACAGCTTGTCTCCAGAAGTTGTGAATGCTCCAACACTGTAAGTTTTTAAGGAGATATTGAACATCCATTTGTCTGAAATGGTATAGGGCTTCCTGCCTAGGCACGGGGTTGGACTAGAAGACCTCCAAGGTCCCTTCCAACTTTGTCATTCTATTCTATTCTATTCTATTTTATTCTATTCCATTCCATTCTAGTTTCCATTCCATTGTCCATTCTCCTCTCCTCTCCATTCCATTCTCCTCTCCATTCCATTGTCCTCTCCAGTCCATTCTCCTCTCCAGTCCATTCTTCTTTCCATTCCATTTCATTCTCCTCTCCATTCCATTCTCCTCTCCGTTCCATTCCATATTTTGTTCCATTCCATATTCATCCCCTCCCCTTCCCTCCCCTCTACCTTAATCCTTTAAAAATAACATGGAATCTTATCAGATCTTATTCTTTGTGTTTAGCATGTCTACCAAGGATTTGGAAGACGGCCAGCTGCCTCCACAAAGACAGCACCAATCTATGACTCGGTAGCAAACTATCTCCCCCTGGATACAGAGCTGCCTTTTGAACAACAAGGGGAGCTGGTCTAAGTAACCTGCTCGATGCTTCTCTGACCCACCATCCAAGATTGCGTTGTCTCCTGGTAACTCTTAATTCCTTCTTTTTATGCTACATTCCTTATCCATGTAGAGATGCTAAGTCCAGTGGTGTGGTCTTTGGATGGGTTCACACAATATTAATAACACTTAAGACTTACATACCGCTTCACAGTGCTTTTACATCCCGCTCTAAGTGGTTTACAGAGTCAGCCTATTGCCCCCAACAATCTGGGTCCTCATTTTAACGACCTCGGAAGGATGGAAGGCTGAGTCAGCTTG